CTGAGTTAACCTTAGAATTTTTAGACACAATCCAATAGGTCCTTTTCTCTACCGTATATGTAATAATCTAATGCCAAGGAGAATGATGTTCAAATGAGCACCTCCATAACCATTTTGATAGAAGAGCTTCATTTTTCCTCTTTTGTGTTGATTACTTTTAAGGAACTGATACTAGTTTATTCTAAGCTAGCAGCACTGTATCTTGTTCCAGCTTGTGATATGGATCCACATTCCATACAGGCACCAATTAAGAAATTCTTAATATCTTTCAACTTCTTTATCAATGGAACTCTTGAGTAGTCAAAACTTGAGATAATAAGTTGGCAAATTAGCAACTTTGGCCTTGCCTTGAAAATGGTGTTGTACAACGAGCTCCAAAGGAAGCTAACTTGTATGATGACTGCTGTTATTGAGAATCTAAAAAATTCGGATTTGAATTATGCTTGAACATTCTAGCAATTAACCGATCCAAGTCTTTCCCTTTTTCTTGACACATCAAGCCATACTGAGGAGATGGTGAGAAATGGCCTTTTCTTTTTTATCCTATTGAAGGTACCAAGTTTTCTATGTCAAGAAACCAAGTGAAGGAAATTTCCTAGGGATCTTGGACTTACATATGCAAAACACTTATTCACTTAATATTAAGTTTTCAAAAGTAGGGAGAAACTCTGCAGAATTTCCCAAGTTGATTGAGAGACACCCTCTCCGTCTTCTGAATAAGCCATACTAAGCATTTTTGTTACAGTTCCAGCAGCCTGTAAACATCCATAGAAGTAGTTGTTTTCTCTATTCTTGAGGACCAGTCTTCTATCAAGTTCAGCTATAGTTCAGAACTGTTGGGGAAGTTTTTAATCGTAGTTTTAAGCAAATTTAAAATCTTGGTGTGCTGGTTATTCTTGTAAAGGCATAGTTTTTGTCAGTTCAGTGCTCTCTGCCTTTTGTATTTGTTTATTTTCTCCATAGTTTTTCTTAAAAGATGGATTTCTTCTCCAAAATTAAGAGAAGCACTACATCTTATGAAAAGGGATATAAAAGTAAATAAATAAATAAAAAATAAAAAATAAAGGAGTACTGAGCATAAATGGTAGTCTTATCTTTCCTTCCTCTGCTACTTGGCGCTGTAGTTAGAAAAAGTTTTGGGTTGCAAGTATAAACGAAATTTTCCACTGTCCAATTACCGATCTATTCTAATGATGAGCTCATCTGAGAAAGCTTCAAGAACTTCTGTATGCAGCAAAATGTTATTTATGACATGTTGGTGCCTTGTCTCAAAGTTGGCTGCCAAAACAGCCTGTACACATAAATATAGTTTCTGTGAATTGGTTTATTTTGTTATTACCTTATCTTTGAAAATTTGTAATGTTACCTATTTTACTATTTGATGTATTCTAACCTGTACCATGTGTGAAAATGGTAACCAGGAACCTAAGCAAATAGTACAACCCCACGGTTCTCATGCTATAGCCCTTTCTCAGGCTTTCCCGAACAACCTGAATGGACTGATTTTAACGTAAGTTTTATTTAATTAAACTTGTTGGATTTCTGGATTCCCCTTTTGTAATAGTTTGCCTGCTGTTCTTTGTTGGAATGTATCATAGCTAAAATTGATATACTAATTTTTCATATTTTGTATTTTCCGAGACTAAAAATAACTTTCCCCCCTCTTCTATCTGTTCGGATGAAGGCCACTTGACCTATGTGATGAGGCGACAAGCAGTCCAGATGTTCTTCCAGTTGGTTATCAGAGCCCCCATGCCAGTGGAATGTCTATGGCAAATCAGGGTTCTGTAGCATTAGTTCTTCCTAACTCGGGGGTGAAGGTTTCCTTACAAGGGTCTTCTGCAATGGTTCAAGGAACTAGCTTAACCACTGCTTCTGGTTCACTCAACAACATCAGGTATTTTGCTATCATACTTTTAACAATCCATATTTTCTGTACCTTCGACAAGTCACTTCAGCTTCTCAAATCTCATGATTTCACATGGCATAATATACTTTACAGGGATGGTAGATATAGTGTTCCGAGGACATCATTGCAGGTGGATGAGCAAAAAAGAATTCAACAACATAGTCAAATGCCGTCTGGAAAAAATGCTCTGCAATCTCACTCATCTGTACCTCTGAATCATCCAGGAAATGAGCGTGGGGTGAGAATGTTATCTGGTGCAAATGGTTTGGGCATGATGTGTACAACGAACCGTTGCATGCCTGTATCAAGGCCAGGGTTCCAAGGACTTACCTCATCATCACCTGCGTTAAATTCTGGGAGTTCTTCCAGTACTGTAGGGATGTCAGTCCCTGCAAATATACACACTGTTGTTGGTTCTGGCCAAGGGAACTCAATGTTGAAATCTCGTGAGACATTGCATGTAATGCGGGTAAGTAATGAACTTTCATCGATTCTATATTGCATATGCTTTACTGTCTTTATACGATTGTTTCCTGCATTTTAGTTATACATAGTACTACAATCTGTGGTAGCCAGTATTGTGACAATTCATACTCAATGACATATTGTTAGAAAAGTAGATGATATCATGCTCAGTGTTTTGAAGTGGGCTTCCCAAGAATGCAATGGGTATGTGCCTCGCTTCTCCCTCACTCAAGTGCACCAAGGCATTCTGCAGTGCAAGTGCGCATTCTGCAGTGTGCTTTGTAGCCCCATTTTATGTTAATTTTAAGTTCTAATTTTTTATTATTATTATTTTATTATTCTCCATACTATATTTTTCAATATAAAAACATTATTTACGTTTCTCAATTACGTGCCACACGAGAAAAAACCGTTGCTCTTCTTTGTGTCCTGCGCTTAAGCTTCATAGAACTGTTACACGTTTGTGTGCATTTGCTTTAAGAAACACTTGTCATGAATCGGGATGCAAAGAATTACTTTCTGCCTTTTACTTCGTCTCCAATCATTTAAATGCTATATTCTACAGAGATAAAAATAAAAATAAAAAAACTTATTTTTCTATACAACTTATTTTCATTATTTGTTGGAAATTGTTGAGTTTAGTGTTCATATATCATTTCTCATGTCCCTAATAATTATTTTGTAATTTTGTTATCTAGATGATCTCACTACTCTATTCTGTTTCTAGGCTGGTCAAAACACAGAGAATCAAAGGCAGACGATGGTTCCAGAACTTCAGATGCAAGCCTCTGGGAACAACAACAGACCATTAAATGGTTCAGGTTCTTCCTTCCCAAATCAGACACCACCACCACCACCATCTGTGCCTTCATATCCAGGCCATCTCCAGTCGCAGCATCAAATGGCGTCACAACAATCTCATGCTCATAGCAGCTCTCATCATCCACATCTTCAACCCCCAAATCATGCCATAGGTCCACAGCAGCAGTATGCAATGAGGTTGGCCAATGAAAGGAAGCTGCAACAACAGAGGTTCTTGCAGCAGCAACAACTGCAACAAAAACAGCAGCAGTTTTCTACATCAGGTTCTCTAACACCACACATTTCGCCGCAGCCCCAACTTCCCATGACTTCTTCAAATAGCTCGCAGGTCCATCTGCAAACTTCCTCGCAGCAGGTCTCTTTGCCCACTATAACCTCATCCTCCCCAATGACACCCACATCATCACATCATCAAATGAAGCAGCACCTCCCACCTCACGGATTGAGCCGGAACCCCGGAGCCAGTGGGTTAAACAATCAGGCGTTGAAGCAAAGGCAACAATCTGCCAGGCATCATCCTCAACAGCGACAGCAGAGTCAGTCTCAACAGCAGGCTAAACTTATGAAGGGAGTAGGAAGAGGAAGCATGCTGATGCATCAAAATCTCACCGTTGATACTAATCTTGTAAATGGCCTTAATGTACCTTCTGGTGATCAACCCTCTGAAAAAGGGGAACAGATCATGCAGTTGATGCAAGGTCAAGGCTCATATTATGGATCTGGAGTAAACACAGTTCAACAGTCAAAACCATTGGCTCCTCAGTCATCAAGCCATTCTCAGCTACAGAAAAATCTTGTTTGTGCTTCTGGTGGACCACCCTTATCAAAACCAGTTATTCAGATGCAAGCTAATTCCGAGAAAAGCTCTCAAGGCCAGGTTCCACCTGTTTCCTCTTGTCACACATTGTCAGCTTCACATCAGGATACTCCTGCATCAATAATATCTTCAAACCACCCTCCTTCACAACCACCTCAGAAGCAGCTGAATCAAACACAAACAAGTTTTGAGAAGTCCCTTCAGCAGAGTTCTCAAGGTATCTCTGATCCGAGAATGAAGGCTCAGACTGATCTAGCTCAAGCTGACCAGCAGACACGTAAACAAGCTTCTCAGGTAGGTACGGATAAAGCAATGCCTCAAACATCTGCCACTGCAACTGATACCACACCAATTACTTCTGTTTCTTCTCAGTGGAAGCCATCTGAACCTGTGTGTGATTCTGATGTGCTGAAGTCAAAATCTCAGTTGGGTTTGATTGGTAGTTCACCTCTTACAAACTTTTCTGGGGGTGAGCCATTACCTAACAACCTGGGATTAGGCCCTAGGCAGTCCTCTCGTGCCTTGCCTTCTCATGGGCATAATGCTGGGCTACAGTGGCCACAGCAAGTTCCATTGCAGCAACCTCCAAATCGATTTGCCCCTTCCCAGCAGCAAGAAAAGCAGCAAGAAAAGCAGCAAGAGGCCTCGTTATCCCAACATCATCAACCTCTGCAACAGCAAGCTCAGCATCAATCACAGCACAAGCAAGCCGAGCATGCTAGTTTGTATTTGAAGCCTGAAAATGCTAATATGGAATGAAGCAATCTGGTGATAGAATAGTGCCGAGTCATTTGTCCGGCTGGGGTTTGGTCAGCACGCATTCTGTAAAGGCAGCGTACAGGTAAATATGGCTATCAATCTCAATGAATGCATTATTAACCTAGGATGAAGAGAAGGAAAAAAGAGATTGCCTGTTGTTTCATATCATGAAAGGATAGGCTTGCATGATTGAATACTTTCATTCCCTCTCAAATGCTCGTTCAGTGGAGGGTGTATTCTGAAAACTAGTTTCATCAAGTGTTGTTTGTTTGTTAAAACAAGAAACCAAACTTTTCATTGAAGAAATGAAAGGTGATGAAGGCGCAAATAAATGAACTCCCAGAAGGGTGGAATAAAATAGTAAAGAGGTATTTGTAAAGGTGAAATATGAAATTATGTGGTAAGAAGAATATACGAGCTCAATTTTCAACCTGTGCTTTTATTTGCCAAAAATTTTCTGGTATTTTGTCACACCATTTAGTCATTTTCCTTAGCTCCACTTGCACATATAAGGCTTTATATTCACCTGTTTAACCATTTTCTGGCGTTGGAATTTTGTTGTTTCAGACATTCTTATTGTAGAGTGAAGAACATGATTTCATCATTTGTTTTTATTATTTTCGCAGATGAAGCTGGTTAATTATTCACGATTGAGGGCTTCGCTAGAGAGGAAGTGGTGGAACACGTTCTACTTCACAGATTGAAGTTTTCATATGGGATAAATTGTTCTCTATTCATGAGACCCATCCCTAGTGCAGTTCAGGCGATGTCCCTTACCCTTCCCTTCTCGTTTCCTCGAGGTAAAATTGAAGATGGGAAGGACGATATTGCTGCATTGTGATTTATGTATATTACCACTGGCCTAGTTTTGGGAAGATAGAGACAGATGTAGAGGTACGTGTACAGGGTCTTATCTTTCCTTTCTCATAATTCTCTATTTTTCCGTTGTCTTGAGGTTCTTCTTCAAGTCACCCGTCCTTTTATTAGAGGGCCTCGTTCCTTTGGAGTTGATAGATTAGTGCATGTATTGACATTAATAACCATTAAGAGGGTAGAAATCATTTCCGAGGACAAATGCCTCCTCGGAAAATTTTGTGAATATTAGGTTTCTGGCATCTGCATTATCAGTGCCTTCTAAACTAACCATCCATCAGTGCATGTGCACCTGTAGAAGTATTGTATTATGTACTTGTGTACCCAATTTTATAATGCAACAAGCTTCAGTAACTGATCCATTTCTTTTTTGCTGTTCTAGAAGAAAGAAGCCTTTTCTTTGAGTTGCGGCTGCTAGATTCTCTGACCCATAGTTTCCCTAAGATGTCATTTTCTTCTGTTGTCTTTTCTAATTCTTCATGCACCCGCACATGATTTCAATGTCAATGTTGTCTGTGGTAGTGGGCATCTTCTTTGAGATCATTTTTATAAAAACTTCCCTTTCATTCTTGATATGAGACTTCTAGGAGACAGTTGGCTCACGGTTTTAATGAGCTCAAGCATTGGAAGCTTGAATCTATATGATGTGTTCAAATTGTGCAAAGAAATGAAATCCATAGAAAATCTGGGTTTGTAAAATGACTTCTGTATGGTCCGTCTAGATTTATGATTTGTAAAAGTTTGTATGTAGTATATAGGTGAGTTTCATTAGTTAGTATTGAATCAATTCTTGTAAGTTGTGATGGACAAAATCAGGTGTCAAATAGAAACTTAGCTTCATAATCCTGAGCTTACACCAACTTTACTTGGAAGTCAAACACCCCTTAGTGATTTAGAAAACATTTGTGATGTATATTAGTAACCCGTCTCGGTACCGAAAGGGATTTGAAGCTGTGATGTGTGGGATTGCCCAGGTCTCATCCTACCCTCTAGACCAACTGCCAACAAGCTCTGGAATGTTTTTCTAAGAAACAATCACATTTCCTCTGGTGCTTTATGACATTTACCATGGTTCTTTGTAGACAGAAGGTAGGGTTTGGCATTATGATTCTTCACTAACTCGTAAAAGTGTATTAGGTTGGATTGGTTGTGCTATTGATGAGCTTGCCAATGTATGATGCTGGTGACAATGGTTTCATCTCATTATGATTGTTCAATGAATGTAATTTCTTGAAACATGGATTTCAGACAGCCAACTGTTCCATGTTTACTATTTATAGACTTCCCAGTTGATAACTGCTTAGTAAACAAAGGACTCTTGGCACTCTCCTTTTTTCTCTCTTCGATTTTTTTTTTCTGTTATAGTGTGCAGCCATCTTGTTATTCTCATCTTCGGATTCATTGATCTAAAGCTTTTGGAATGCAGCAGAATTCATGTTTCCAAGGGTCTGTTAATGGTTACCAGAAGTTAACTTTGATCTACATTCAAGTCCAATGTCTGTAATTTGTCCAAATTTTGTTAAATAGTGAAGTTTAAATCTTCAATTCTGTTCATTTCACAGCAGATGAACGTTCGAGGACAGATGAATTTGATTCTTTTAAATCAAGTGAGTCTGGTATGGCCTTAATACCTTGCCAAGTTAGACTTGTTCAAGACCGAATCTTTCTCGAAATAAAAAAGAAACGCTGAACCCAATATTAGCAAATGATTTCAAGTTATGTTGACCCATTACTAAAGATTTGATAAGCTACCATACTACGATTCTTGTCTTTTAAGAATCACTGTTCTACAATTTAGGATCTGTTGAAGTAAAGTGATTCTTGTATCTAGAGACTTTGTGGGTGTATAAAGGTATTACTAAAAGAGAGTGAAAAGAAGAAGAAGAAGAAGAAGAAAGGGTGATGCTTTGATTGAAAATACGAAATCTGTAGCAGTTGGAAGAAAATTGATCTCAAAAAAAGCAGATGGATTGGGTTTGGAATCAAAATTTGAGACAGAGAGAAGAACAGATTCATAGTAATACTGAATTAGTCTGAACAAGAACCGTTCTGAATGAAATTAGTTAAAATGTAGGAAACTAAAAAGAAATCTTTTCTTACAGAGTTAGAAGAGGATCCCCTTTTTCTGAAGAACAAGGAGCAAAAATCTTCAAGGATCATGGCCAATCTTCAGCCTCTTGGGGGGAGGAGATCCGAAAGCTTTTGCAATTGAATTCACAATCTTCTTTTCCGATTCCAAAATCATCTCAATCCGCCTGTTTTCCATCGCAATTCTGTTCATCTCCGCTTCCTTCATCATCTCCATCTTCAAACTCTCCATTCCGACCAATCTATCGGCGAATAATCGAATCTCTGCCGCTAATTTGGAGCACATCTCTTTCCCTTCCTCAGCTACCGCCGCCTCTCCTGCCAGATCCTCCTCCGGAAACCTGGAAACCCTAATGTCGGCTTCTTCTTCGTCGTCTTCGTCTTCTTCACTAGAATTTCTGTTTCTCCTTCGTGAGGAAGATCCATCAAAAGCAATCGGCCGACGGAGTATGTTGCTAATGCTCTTCGATTTACTGCGATTCTTCTCCTCTTCCTCGTAATCGGAGTTGTAGTTATCAGATTTCTCAGCGGTTTGGTCTTCGTCGTTATCGAACGGAATCGAAGACATCGGACGAGCGGAGATAGGTAGCGGACCGCGTAATAGGTTGTTCATAAGTTCGAAGTAGAGCCAACGGGAGGAAGATTGGGTGCCGATGGCGAGACGGTGTTTCTCGGAGCGAAAACGCTGGCGGAGCTTCTCCATCTTATGGCGGCACTGAACGGAGGTTTTCGAAGGATCGAAGTGGCTGTAGCCGCAGCGGGCGGCGACAGTGACAGCGACTTCCTCCCACTGGCTGGACTTCAACTGACCTCGTTCGAGAGCGTACCATTTCTCTTGGTAAGCCTGGATAAGATTGACGGTCTCCTGGTGCGTCCATGGAATCGGCTGGACTTTCTCAGTGGTTGCGACGGTGGAGATGGATTTGGAAGAGGAGAGCGGTGCCGGAGGAGGAGTGGCCATCTGATCAGACGATGGAGGGGTTGGAATTTGGTGAGGATTTAGAAATTGAGATGATTATGATCGGTGGCGCAATGACATACCGCGGCGGCGGCGGCGGCGGCAGGTAAGAGGAGCAGCAGCAAATCAGTTGACATTAGATGAGAAACAATTGACATTAGGTTGTGGGAGAATTTTATGGTGCCTTTCAAAATATAGCGCTTTCATAATTTTGTAAAATTTAAAAACTATTTAAAATTTATATAAGTTACGACACATTGATCACATTCGATATTAGCCACTCGAGGATCGCCACCTTGTCGGTCTGCGACGTTTGGGGTCACAATCTACTATCTGTGTTCATAGCATGGTTGTGACTGTGCACGGTTCGATTTAATCTGGTTTTGGCCAATAAAATCGAACTTTTCGATTTTAGAATGTTATAAATTAAAAAAAAATTCTCGACCTCGGGTTGATTTATTTGTTTTGTTTTCTTTAATTAGACCAAATCAATCTGTTTTGACTCGCTACAGTTTAATTAGACTAAATCACCGCTCTAAAATATGGGACGTCTGGACTAAATGAGTTATATTCACCGTTAGACAAACCCTTAAATTTATTCTTATATCAAATCATTTTTTTTGTTTATCAAATATATGATATCCAACTTTATTCTTAAATTATAAACTATTTATATCTCGACTTAAATATAATTTTCTTTTATATTTACGCATCGTATTTGTGTGTATTATGACAAAATATTATGGATAATGATAAAAAAAAAATCAAATAATTATTTGATTTACCATAAAAAGAATGACGGTATAAATCCTAAATATCCACGTATTAAAAGAAATTTTTTTTAATATTTATTTTTGTTTTTAAATTTAGCTAAAAAAAATGAAATATTGTCATAATAAAAATAAAATTGAGAAATTACAAAAATAAACTACCGAATGATAAAAAAATTGTTAGATTAAAATTGATATAAACAACGGAATGTGGGGGTAAAATTGACTTTTCACTCTTTTTTTTTTTTTTTTTTAATTATCAATTATGCTTTCATTTTCAAAATCCCCGCTTTTCTCCACTTCTCAGCAACCCGCCCTTTCTCCATTTCTCAGCAATCGGCTCTCTCTCAGACTCCTCGCTCATCATTGTTTCTTGGAATTCTCCTCTTTCATCCGGTAAGATCTGATGTTTAATTTCTACACTCGTGATAGAGAACTTTATCCCATGCTGATTGGTTTGGAATTCATAAACTGCGTTTGTCATTTTCAGTTTTTGCTGTCTTTTGGCATGTTAATTGGTTTAAAGCAGAGCTTCATCGTTGTTACTTTGTAAAAGAACATTGAATTTCTGAAAGAATCCCGTGCTTTAATCTGTTTCTTCAGCCAAAGCTCCCATGTTAGTTGAATTAATTTGCGGTTCGATAATGTCGTATATGCATATATTTAGACTGTAACTAAACAAGTTTGCTAATTCACCAATTTCAAGTATTGCACTAAAAATTTATCATGCTTTTCTTTGATTTTTATATTTTGGCGATAATTTGATGTTAGTTGAACTAACCATATATTTCAAGTGCTTCTATTAACCAATTTTAGTATTCTACATTTTTATATTGTTGGCATGTTAGTTGAATTAGTGCGCTTACTGATTTTTCTCTTCAGTATTATCTTTCTCAAAGCTGATTTAGAGTTATATTTTTATAAGCTGTAGTTCAGCCTCCTGATGTAGAGTTCTGTTTCTATTCTCTCTGGGTTACCTTGGCACTGCTGACGATTTAATTTGGAAGATTTCATCAGGATTTTGTTGGTGGAAATTTCTAAACCTTTTTGAGATAAATTTTCGTGCGTAAGTTAACATTTGAACATGATTTTTGGAAATGAAAATTCAATGTTTGGAAGATTTTTATTTATTCCTGCCTGTTTAGTGATAAGCTCTATGAATTCTAAGTTGCTTGAGACGAGGGAGTGTTATTAGTTTGACGCCTCTAAAATACTCTCGGGTGCCCACTATTTCTTTTTGTTGCATGGAGTCTATCATTTTATCCTGTTTGGACAGATATGACCTCACTAGCAAAGCAACTTGATGGTGGAAATGAACTATTTATTGGTCTTTCTCCCTTTTATATTCTTCAGGACTAAGAGCATTAGCAGCTTTACCAATTTCCATTAGTGATCTGCATTGTATTTGAAGAATATATCTTCTACTAGAAACAAAATGAAGGTCAAAAGGTCCTACTTGATTTGTTATAGATCAGATTGTTGTTGTTGCTAATTCAGGTTGGTCTGCTTCTCAGTGTTGTTTACCGTTTAGGATGTTCAAGATTTAGTCCTGGAGCTGGTCTAAATAAACTTCTTTTGCTGTGAAGCTTGTTTTAGATATTGAAGTATGTAAATTTGATATTATGATTGTGACTTAATTCTCACTTGATACATCATTTATGCGTACACCTTTTGAGTTTTTATCTCTAATTAGACTGCATATGTGGCATCAATATGGCTTACACATCTCTCTCTCAAATTTTCTCCATAATTGATTCATGTTCCATTGTTGCTTTGCTAGGATGCTGTTATGGTCAATTACGGCGTTTGAACTGTTTTTGGTTAAATTAATTAATTCAAGGTTTGTTTTTGACGTCAAATATAAAGTTTGTACAGCGACAATCCTTTGAATCCTTAAGAAAATTGGCCTTTTACTATCATTCTGCTTTAATGGTGAGGGTGTTTAGCCAATTTTCACTCTCAAGTTTCAAATTTCTAATCGTTCATCTTTTTTAAAAAACTCGTGGACTAACAAATCTTTGTAACTCAAACTTCAGAGCTGCACAACTTTTACATAGAGGGGAGATAGATGGACTTGAAAGAAGCTGGTTCATTGCTTAATAATCTAGTTGCTGCTTTTAATGGTCGGATCGCGGAGCTCCAAGATCTCGTAATTGCACGAAATAGTGAGCGGAAATATTTAAGCCTTTATTCTTTTTCTTGGCTATAATTCTATTTGATGCATAAATGTCACCACTGCGGGATTGACTTCTGTTGTCGTAGTGTATCCGGCGAGTTGTATCCCTGATTTGTCGGCAGTTGATGCATCATTGAAGGCAATGGAATTGCAGGTGCAGGCAATCAAGAACCAGTTACAAGAAGAAGCTGAAGCAATTCCCAAAGCGAAAGTATATTCGCCCCTCCCTCTTTAGACCATCCTTCTGCTATATTAAATTCTGTTTGCTCCTTTTCCTCTGCATCATTAGGAAACCATAAGAAATTAGTGAAAGAATGTTAGAAATGTGTTTACCTCAAATAAATAACATATTCAGTCTGAAAAAGTTTTGAAAAAATTGGGAGAATTGATAACCCAAAAAACTCGAGCAATAAAATTCCCATTCCTTGAACTGCAAAATACTTTAAGATTTATAATTACTGATTATTATCATTCTCATGACGCTATGTTTCTCTTTGTAAATTTTGCTGAGCTTTACAGAGTAGTGGGTTTAACAGTTTTAGTGCTGTTTTGAGTAGCTAAATTATTGCTTTGTTGATGTGCAATATAACATTTTTCACCAAATTCTGCAGAAACTTATCGAAGCATCTCTGAAGCAGCAGAAGAGGTTAGAAAGTATATCACTTCACGTTCCCTCATATCATATTCAGCCCGAAAGAGTTTCTGCGTTGAACTTAAATACCAGGTAACTAATTTGTTTAAAATTTTATAGGAATTCCATGATCTGAACCCCAGCTTCAAGTTTTATTGTTAAGGTAGTTGTGATTCATGAAAAGGTTTTATGGCCTTCTGTTTTCAGTTTTTGTTCACAGGCCAAAAAAACTGATACTCAATTGGGCTCCCTAGAGGCTGAGAATGTGATTTCAGTCTTACCTAAGGTCGGAATTCTCTTCCTTTAGATATGTTTGTGTAAAATGAATGCATCATACACGTTCATTCCCATATGAATTAGCAAATAGGGCTCAAGTTAGGCATTAACTTTTTCGTGAACCTGAAAGCCATTACCTTGCAGGTTACAATAAACTTAATCTTTCAATTATAATTTTAGTACTTCCCCGCTTCATGGGTTTTAATTAGCACAGTGCTCAATGGGTGATAATTAGAGAGGAAATAAGGTTATTGACCTTCAAATACAGAACTCTTGTTTTGATACGATACTAAATCACAATTGAATTCAAAATCTTAAGTTGATGGAGTATGGTGAATTTAATATTTAATTTATATTCTTAACATTATGGTATGACAAAAAAATTTAAACTTCTCCCGGAATCATTCTTTTTTCATCATTAATGTAAAAAAGTGACCTTTACAATGCAATTTCAGGAGAAGAAAGGTTCCTCTCCACCACTTTGGTACATAACCACCGACGAACTGAATTCACTGTCATCGTGAGTTGTTCTTTCCTCTTATTGGCACGTGAGAATAACTGCTAGCTAGTTCTGCTTACTTACATTCCTAAAATAAAATGCACTACGACAGCTCCTGATATTACTAACTTAGGTATCAGCATTTGAAACTGAAATAAAGCTAATTATACGAAAAAAAAGCCCTTCAGCTATGTTGTTGGCTTCCATTTTACGCTAATATTTTGATTTGTTACAAAAAAAAGGACATTTCCATCTGCAGTTTCTGTTATAATTAGAATTTTTGAAACGTTAGGGACAAAATTGAAGCCAAATTAATTATACAAAATGTCCCAAACGAGTGTGATTGGTTTCAATTTTGCCCCTAATGTTTTTGAAAGTTTCAATGTCGCTCTCAATCTTTTATTTTCTATTAGACATATTAATGAAGATTGATAATAAATGTTTATTATGAAACAAATTAAAACATTGAAAGTTTAAGAAACTTTGAGGACAAAAGTGAAACCAACTACATCCACGTTAGGGACATTTTCTATAATATACCCTTCGAATAATTTTCACGACCGGTAATCTGGTGTTTGGAGTGCATTAGATAGAGCTGAACAATTCGAATATCAAAGAAATAAGATAGCTGCAGATGTCTTTAGCGTATGTTTTTCCTGTAAAGTAGCTTGTAATCCTCCAATTTTTTTAATTAACTCTTACCAACCACAGATATATGAAAGGAAGGTTGACAGTTGACAAGGTCAATGCTGCTATTAATGACATGGCAACATATGCTGAAGCAAATGCTCAGCTTATTGTCGTCCCAAAGAAGAAGG